GTCACTGGTGAGGAAGCAGCTGGGCCAGGTGGGACACACAAAGCGTCCTCCTCTACTTGGCTGGGGGCGAGGCACGCAGATTTCCTAGGAGACTTTGGGCATTGGCAGTCCAGGCATCTGTGCTTGCCTTGTCCCATCTCACAGTGAGGAGCTGCCCATGAGCCTGGAATAGGGCTGGAGCCCATATGTGGTGACTGTGCCATGGATAGGTCTGAAGCCAAACTGCCTGGTGTTCAAATCCCACCTCTGTCACTTTCCAACATGATGACCTTGGGTAAGTAAGTCACTTCACCTCTCTGAGCCTCAGTTTCTTCATCTGTAAAAGGGGAATAATAATAACACCTAACTTGTAAGATTGGGTGAAGATTCAGTGATGTAATAATAATGTAGATAAAGCATTAGAACGGTGCCTGGAACAGTGAATAATGAGAGTCACGATTAGTGTAATTATTTATTTTATTTTATTTTATTTTTTTAAAAAGATGACCGGCAAGGGGATCTTAACCCTTGACTTGGTGTTGTCAGCACCACGCTCTCCCAAGTGAGCTACCCAGCCATCCCTATATAGGGATCTGAACCCGTGGCCTTGGTGTTATCAGCACCACACTCTCCCAAGTGAGCCACGGGCTGGCCCTGATTAGTGTAATTATAATCATCATCACCATCGCACTGTCCAAAGAAACTTCTTCAGTCTTGTGAAGGTAGCAGAGGGTGTGGCTGGATGTGGTAAGTGGGGAGAGAGAGCCTGTTACCCATAGGTCGGTCCTGTCCAGCACGGATGACCAAACTAAGGCCCTAAGTCAGGAGGGGACCTGCCCTGCATCATCCCAGAAGGTAGGGGCATCAACAAAGCTGTGCCCATCCTGCTACTCCCCACCCCTGTCCTCTGTCTCCCCCATCCTGTTTATTTATAGGAAAAGGCATGGGTAGGCGGCAGCCACTGGGGAGGCCATGTGATAAGCATATGGTCTTATATTTTTTTCTGCCTCTTGTCTGATTTGGAGCTGTTGCTGAGCACAGGCTGTTCCTGGGGATTCTGAGCTGAGGTGTCTGGTTGTGGGGCTTACCTCATTGCCTGTGTTGGTGTGCTGTGATGGCTGCCTTGCTGGGGCTCACTTCTGTAGGATGATGGACACAGATGTCAAGGAGGGAAGAGCTGCTACTATGAACACTAACTCGAGGACGGGGAGGAAGTTGCAGCCTAGAGTAATTCACTCACTCACTCATTCATTTATTCACTCATTTAATCGACCTTCACCAGGCAACCCTATAATGTGCAGGGCTCTGACCTGGTTTCTAAGGATATGGGGACAACTCAGCAGCTGCTTTCTGCCATCAAGGGGTACCTGACATTACTGAGGACAGAAATAATGCAAGGGGGAGAGGTGGCAGGTTACAAGATAAAGATGCCATAATCAATAGCTGTTTAGAAAGTGTACCTAGAAAATATAAGAAACAGCCACCAAAGAATCTGCACAGGTTCTAGGTGAAGAACCTGCAAAGCTGTAACATAATGCAAGGCTTGAATAACTGGAAATATTTACCTCAATCCTAAACTGAAAAACTCATGGTAAAGATGTCAGCTCATTTCCAACTTAAATACATTTAATGGAACACCAATCAAAATTCTGATAGGATTTTAGGGGAAGGGGGAGGTTTGAAAAAAATTCTATAGGTTACCTGAAAACAACAACAACAACAACAACAACAACAACAACAACAAAAACTAAACACATAATTGGGAATTAGCAAGACTTTTTTATTTTAAAGAATAACAGTGTTGGGCCGGCCTGGTGGCGCACTGCTACAGTGCGCCGCTTCGGAGCGTGGCGGCACTCCCGCCGAGGGTTCGGATCCCACATACAGACCGGTTCCCGCTCGCTGGCTGAGCGAGGTGCGGGAGCAACACCGAGGGTTGCGATCCCGTTGCCGGTCCCGGTCCGGTGCGGGCGCGACATTGAGGGTTGCGATCCGTTGCTGGACACGAAAAAAGACAAAAAAAAAAAAAAAAAAAAAAAAAAAAAAGAATAACAGTGTCAGGGACTTGCACTAATCAGGCACTAAAACATATTCCAAAGCTATAATAATCACAGTATGTGGTATCATCATGAGAAGAGACAGGTAGATTCCAGGAGCAGAATAGGTCTGGACATAGATCCGCATGAGTGTAAGAATTTATTTCAGATATAGGGGCATCTAAAATTAGAGGCAAGCAAGAGGCTTCAAGGTGTTTCTAAAGCCTCAGACTTGATTTGGGATGCATAGAGGTGGGACCTCTCTTCTCCCTCCAAGATATTCTTTGGGGGGCTTTGCCTGCAAGGTGTTGATTAAAAACAATTAGCCCCAGGCCGGCCCGTGGCTCACTCGGTAGAGTGTGGTGCTGATAACACCAAGACCACGGGTTCGGATCCCATATAGGGATGGCCGGTTCGCTCACTGGCTGAGCGTGGTGCTGACAACACCAAGCCAAGGGTTGAGATCTCCTTACCGGTCATCTTTAAAAAAAAAAAAAAAAAAAAATTAGCCCCAGTGTCCCCAGAGCACTCCCATCCACTATCTTGTCTAGTTTTCAAAGAGGCAGCACAAGGTCATACACATTACAAAAAAAAAAAAAAAAATTCACTCCGTCTCCATGATAAACTTATCAAAACTAATCACTCATCACACCAAATTAGAAAAAAGGAGAGAAAGTGAAAAACCCTCATGAGCCTACTATACACATATATTTATTCTTTCCAAAACTGGAACCATAATTGCATGCAGTTTTGTAACCTGCTGAGTTCACTTCACATCATATTGTGAGTGTTTAAATATCTGTTGAAAACATAATTTGTGATGGCTCTGTGCTATTCCTTAAGAGGCAGACACCACGATTTACTTTGCTGTTCCCCTAAAGTTGATTATTTTCCAGACAGCTACTATAAATGATGTTTCTGCGAACGACCTGCTTGCTGGCTTTTAAAAGTCTCATTTCTGATCATTTTCTTTTTTTTTTCTTTCTTTTTTTCAAAAGATGACCAGAAAGGGGGTCTTAACCCTTGACTTTGTGCTGTCAGCACCACGCTCTCCCAGGTGAGCCACGGGCCGGCCCTTCTGATCATTTTCTTAGGCTAGATTCCTACAAGCGGGGTGGTTATCCAGTCAAAGGGCAGAACATGTTCAAGTCTCCATGGAAAATTTGCAAATTGCTTTCCAGAAAGATGAACCAACACAGGAATCTAGTGCTGGCTTCTCTACCTTCGCCAGCATGAGTTTTATTTTTAGTTGTTTTTTTTTTTTTTTTTTTTTTTTTTCTTCCCCACTTTAACAACTTGCTAAGCTCGCTCTGTGCCAGGTGCCAGTGCTAAGCATTATGTAATGTCATCCTCTCACCCCCCGGGGAGGGAGGGGACACCCATTTTACAGACGAGGAAACCGTCTGAGAGGACTCTCCTGTGGGTCAGGGTCGCCGAGCCAGAAGACAGGGGAGCCCCGGTTCAACCCCGGACGTCTCCAACGCTAGCACCCGGATCGGATCGGGGTGTCACCGTGCGTCGAGCCGGCTGGCGCTGGGCGATCTTGCCTCGCCCCTCTCTCCTTCCCCACTGCTTCTGTCGTGGTTCTCACCGGAGTGAGTCTTCTCATCCGCAGACCTGCTGCTCTCTCTCGCGGGCGTCACACCCTTCCCCGGCCTAAAGCCCATCCCCTCAGTCCCCGTCCCCAGCCCCTGCCGCGCGCTCCGGCCACGCTGAGCTGCTTTCCCGCCTGTAAGTCCCAGCTGTTCCGCGTCCCAGCGGCCGCCCGGGGCTGCAGTAGAGCCCTCCGGAGCGTTAGGACAGCGCTTGTCACATGACTGCCGTGCTCTGTGGACACGCGGGTCCCGCCGCCGGGCCGCCCTCCGCCGGAGCACACGGCCCACCTCGCCTCTGCGCGTCCCCAGCGCCACCGCGCGCAGCGCCCGGACCCTGTCGGCGCCGAATGCAAAGTGGGCGCATCGCCCGGGGCTGATGCACTGGCGCGGGGCTGGGGGCAGCGGAGGCGGGACGAGGAATTGCTACTTGGTCACCGAGGGCTGTCTGGGCGTCGGGACGGGGCGTTGAGCCTTGTCATTGAAGGGATCCTCGGGGGCAGGACTGTTTCAGGAGCGGGATGAGGGAGCAGGGCCGTTCTCATAACTGAACTCAGCCCTCCTTACCGCCTCCGGACCCAAATCTAGTAAGAAAAAACATTTTCAAATGGACCCTCTCACCCCCTTCTAGGGCAAACTCCTGCTCGGCCGTGCGACCTTGGTCGCCCTCCCGCCGGGCCTCGGTCCCCGAATGTGCATCGGCCGGCCGCACGCCCCCTCCCGCCCCAGCCCCGCGCGGGTGCCCCGTG